ACTCGGAACCTATGATGCTTTAAATAAAAAGGGATTAAACTCTTCAAAAAAGATAATTGGCTGAATGGATTAAGAATAAATGTGTTTCTATAATAATCTGTCTAAAGGAGACTCATTTTAGTTCAAAGGAGACAGACAGACTAAAAAGGAAGAAAAAACATTCTATGCAAATAGCAACCACAAGGGGGATGCAGTGGCCATAATTATATTAGAGGAAATCTGTATTAGGACAAAATCATTATAAGAAACAGTCAAAGATAATGTACACTGCTATGATTTAATAAAAAACATAAAAAACAGTCAAAGACTGATGTTACATAATAAAATAGGTCCATTTATTAGGAATCTATAATGATAAAAAGTATGTAAATTACATATAAAAAACATGTAACAGGTCTAAAAATATGTGTGTAAACTTGTCACTGTGCACTTGTGTTGGCAACACTGTACAAATAACTCAGTGAGGTTTCATAACCTTGGTATATCAGTGTCTCACAGCTGTGTTTATACTGCAGTGTGTGGCAGTGTCTTGTTGAGTGGCATTCATTATTGTTGCATATTTTGTGTGCTGTTATAAGAATGTCAGACCTTGAGCCATGGCAATGAACAAACGGTAAATTTCTTGTTAAACTTGGCAAAAGTGGGAGTAAAATCAGGGACATGTCACTCTAAGTTTATTGAGGATAAAGGCGTAAAGGAAATGGCAGTGCACAAATGGATTGAACATTTTTCTGAAGGGAGAGAAAGTGTCAATGATAAAGAGAGTTCAGGCTGGCGAGTGAGGGGCAGAACTGATAGAAACTTTGCAAAAATTTGTCAAATTGTGTGTCAAAATCATCAGCTGACTGTGAGCAGCATAACAAGCCAAGTAAATATCAAGAGAGAAACAGGAAAATCTTAACTGAAAATTTTGGCATGAGAAAGGTGTGGGTGGTTTTCGCATCATGACAATGTCATAGCTCACATGGCATTGTCTGTGAGGGAGTTTTTAGCCATTAAACAAATAACTGCGTTAGAACACTATCCCTGCTCACCTGATCTGGCCCCCGATGACTTTTTTCTTTGCCAGAATATAAAGGAAATAGTCAAAGGAAGACATTTTGATGACATTTAGGGCACCAAGGGTCATACGATGACAGCTCTGATGGCCATTCCAGAAAAAAAGAGTTCCAAAATTGCTTTGAAGGGCGGACTAGGCATTGACATCAGTGCGCGGCTTCTCAAGGGGAGTATTCTGACATCAACCATAGTGATATTCGATGAGGTATGTAGCACATTTTCTAAGATGAGTTTATGAAATTTAGTGTCAGACCTTGTACAAATATGTTATAAATGTTGTATAACATTTACTTTACATGTATATATAACATCAGGAATTCCAAATATATGAAGTAAATATTGGCACAAGTGAAATAAAAAATACAAAGCAAAATGTTCACTGTTTAAAACCCCACTTTCCATAAAAAATGAAAAAAACTCACATAGAAGATCAATAAGAACACAGAAAACTTAAGCATTTTACGTTAATTAGACCTAACACACATACACAGGACTCTCTTGTCTAAAGCAGCAAAGTATACTGTATTTTTAATTACACCTGGTGCTTTTTAAGACACATAAAAAGTATAATTGAATTAAAGATGACTGAGTGAAATCAGAAAGCTGAAGAAAAATTGGCAAATCCAAAAAGATGTAAAAATTAAACACACAACTTGAACATATTCTTGCTCAAGGATCAGATGATTTGATATTACTTAAGATGTCAGTATAACCACAGTGATAAAAATCAATGTAACCTCTATCAAAATCCCAATTTTACTTTTTTCAAAAATATAAAAAAATCCTAAGATATGTTTAGGAACTATGACAAGCGAAATACCCTTTACAAAAGACAAATAAAGAGATAATACACTTCCTGATTTCAAAATTTTTACAAAGCTACAAAAATAAAAAGCAGTGTGGTACTGGAACAAAAAGGCTAAATAGATCACGAAACAGAATAGAGAACCCAGAAATCAATCCTTATGTAAATGTATATGAGCAAACGAACTCCCTACATGGTAGCTATACCACACAATGAGGAAAGAATAGTCTCTTTAATAAATTGTGTTGAAACCTGGATATCTACATGAAAAAAATGAAATTGGATCAATCCGTTGTACCATGTA